ACGGGAGCGAAGCCGGGTTGTGCCGGGGCTTGCTCGAAGACGCCGGGAGCTGCTGTTTCTTTTCGCTTCAGGTGGAGGTAGATTTGCTTGGCGACTTGCAAACTGTGGAGGCGGTGGAAGGTAGCCAGCACATGGTAGATGCCTGATAAAGTAGCCCGTGTTTTTTTAAGCCAAAAGCCATCAGGCCAGTTGTTGTTCTGTAAATGTTTCCCGTCAGCTTAAGTGCGTTTATGTATTTATAATTTTAGGGACATAAATTGCAGGCAGAAGTCACCCGATTTTAGTCATCTGAGTTTAGGGACTGTGGAGGGACAGATTATAAGACTGTTTGAGGGATGGCTTGCTTAGCTAGACTAATTATGTGGTTAAAATATCACAGATCAGAACTGAAGGGCAATAAAACAAAAGGTTTGATCCTTTCAAAGTCAGGCTCTGAACCAGCGTTACCCATGTCATTTTGCTTGGCATAGGTATTTTTCTTTGTGTATCTAAAAACACAGAATTTTTCCGCCGTCTTTTTCTCTTCTTTCGGAAAGCTGCATGTTGCTTGCATGAAGATCTAGTTAGAAACTTAACTGATTACTCCTACAATTCATGGTCACACTTGACTGTAGGTTAGAAACTTCTTCCTTCTTCTGTGTTGTCTTGGGATTTTGTCAGGATATCTCTGTTAACTACTCGTCATGGCAAAACATGTTGCCCTTATAAATTCATGGTTTGGATATTCAGAGTAAGTCATGTGAGTACTGACTCACAGGAGGGTCAGCTAAGGGACATGCAAAGAAATTGCCAATATTCTCTCATCACTGTGTGGGCTTCAGAAAACAACTGTCTAAAAATGAAAAGTGCTACATTGCTGTTAAGTCCATTTTCTGCTCCTTGTGTCTCAGGAGTTTAGAAACATTAGGCTGTTAAAATCAGACTGGACCCATGACTGTTTTACTTTGAGGACACAGTAAACAAGTTGGATATATTGTAAAGAGGGCTTTAAGGGCAAGGAAGAGAGTATCTGCTACATATATTGTATTTTTCCTTTCTTTTTACATTTCCATGTATCTGTGTAAGCATTTTTGTGACAAATTGAAATTACAGATTAATGTATGCAGAGCTGAATTTTACAAATCATAAAACGAAGAAATGAACACAGCATATTTTCAGTAGATAGTTTGGGTGCTTGGACAGCTATTTCATGAAGTCTTGCATGCATGCTTTAAGAAGTTCCATTTTCTGTTGTGGCTGGTTTGGGCTCTTTGGATGGGAGAGAAACTCTTCTCTTCTTTGACTAGGGTCCTCCTAGGTTTAACCCCTGTGCAATGCATGGCTCGGTTTCCTTCAGTGCAGTTGTTAAATCAATTCTTGTTGATTTAATTTCTGCTCCTTCTGAGTTCTTGCGTATAAGTTACATGCAGAAGACCATTGTTAACTGCCATGAGAATCTGGAGAATTTCAGATCATGACAGTGAGAGCTCTGGAGGAGAGGGGTATATAACTCCAGTTTCCTTGCAGTGATGGTAATTATGCTTTCTTTGTGGAAATCAGGTGACCAGATAAGGTCTAACTGGTTTATTCGTGTAAACTGAACTGTGTACCTCTTGTGTACCTCTGATAAGCATGTCAGGTTTTCTTGGAGAGAGGGTTTCGTTGCCCCTTGTCTTATTACTGAATTACACTCTGAGAAGTCTGGCTATTGCAGTGTATGGATTCCTTAGCTGGCAACTTGTACTTCAGACAGCTGTGGGTTTTCTCACTTACTAATCCCAGAAAGCTGGAGTGAAACCACAGCTATGGCAGCACCAGGGAAATAAAGCAAACTGCATTTATGGCCTGCACACTTCCCTACCTTCCTTCCCCCTGCCTTGCTTTCTAGAAGAAAAACTTGGATTTCTGCTTCATTCATTCTGTTTATGCCTAAGCGTGTATCGCTTGCCACCTTCACCGCATCCTTTGGAGAGGCAGGATTCTGTTTGAAAGTTCAGTAACTTATGTAAAGCGTCTAAAGGTTAGAAGGAGACTTGCATCTTGACTAAATGATTAACTTAAACAGGGAATTGCTGGAAAGAAATGCTGGGTTCATAGTTGGCAGGAGTTAGCGCTGCTCATTTCCATCTAGACAATATAAAGTAATGGATTAAGTCATGCATGGGTCATCTCACCCTTTGAGATGATCTTTCTGCCTCCCAAACCCTTTTTATCTATTACATTGTGTTTCCCTAATAGGTGAGCACGAGTTGATTTCTACAGTACATGTGGGTGTGGAATGGAGTATTGCCAACAGAGAGGTTTGCTTGATTTCTTTCTGCCATCTGTTTTGTGCTTAGGTGATTGCCAGCTGCAAACAGCTTGTCGAATCCAGAAATGCACGACTGATTTTGTAGCCTTAACTTCACATCTAAATTCGGCCCTTGACGGCTTTGATTCGGAGTTCTGCAAGGCCCTGAGAGCATACTCTGTCTGTACCTATCGCAATTCCAAAGTATGCCGTGGAAACCTAGTCTACCATTCTGCAGTGCTTGGCATCAGCGACCTCATGAGCCAGAGAAACTGTTCCAAGGATGGGCCCACATCCTCGACGAACCCTGTAGTGACCCATGATCCCTGCAATTACAGTGGCCACACAGACACCGGAGAACATGAGAGAGGGGAGAAGACTCCTCCTACTTACCTATTTTGTGGCTTGTTTGGTGACCCTCATCTGAGGACTTTTAAGGATCACTTCCAGACGTGCAAAGTGGAAGGTGCTTGGCCCCTCATAGACAATAACTACTTATCCGTGCAAGTGACCAATGTGCCTGTGGTCCCAGGATCCAGCGCTACTGCTACAAATAAGGTATGAACTGTTCTTAAACATTGTGCACAGATACAGAAGTTAAAGGCTGAGACATGAGAGTAAGTCACCTACCCCTTAGCAGTGAAGAAGTGTAGTAATTAGAGAATCTTCTGTGCAGTAGTCTAAGAAAGTAAAACCATTAGCTGCTGCTTTTCTGGGAATCAAACAAAATTTAAAACAGATAGTTTTCTTCTTTCCGCCTCTTCCCACCACAAGACAACCCTGTATGTATCACTTCACAAGCCTTTAATGATACTAAATGTAACGCTTTAAAATCGTTATCAGATTGCAGCATCTCTGACAGCCTCTGCACTAAGTAGGGGCAAGGAAAGAGTGTAAGTCTGTGCTTCTTGTTAATTGTCTAATTTGCATAGCCGCAACAGTAGAAAATTAAAAAAATATTGACAGAGTACCTCAACAAATGAGTTAGCAAGATGCTGAGGGTTAAGAGCAGAGATGATGGGAACTATGGAGGATTGAGGGGAGGTAGCAAAAAAATTACATTGATACCAAATGATTGTCAGAGTACTGTGGCTTTACTAAAAAAGCAACTTCTGAAAATTGTACTGAGAGCATAAGCACCTGTTCAGGCAGGCAAGAGTTAACATTACTCTCTTCTCAGCGACTTTAGGCGGCTAGAGGAGGAATGCTTGTATTGATAGCTTATGCCATTTCCTTACCATAAGAAAAGTACTTGTCTTTGTGCTGAAGGCAGATAGCAAATATGTCTGTAGGAAAAAAATGAGGAGTTATAAAGCATGAGCCTGGCTAACAGGTCCTTAGCTTTACGTTCAGAGCCAGAGTGAAAAACAGTCTGAACTTTTGGGGCCATCTTTGTATCAACAAAAGAAGTTATTTGAAGATATATTTGAAGCTGATACTGTCACATATCTTGTTCTCTTTGTGGAGGGAAAGTAGCCTTTTTGAATGCCAGTAATGTAGCTCTTGTATTGTCAAGGTATGTTAGGCTATGCATACACAGTTTCAAGACCATCAACATTGGAGAATTCTCACTGTTTTGTTAGTCTCAGAAGTAGGGTTTTTTTTATTACTGGGGTCAGGAGCTGGCAGTGGTGCTCACAGTAGGTTAGAGCCTGCACATGTTCCATGGAAATGGCTATGGAGTAATATTAATAAGTGAAAATCAGTTTTTCTATTGCATTCATGCTGTATTCTGAGATACTGACTTATGCTAGTGCTTTGAGTTCTGAAGGAGTATAAAAATGAGATAATTAAGCTAATTTCCTTGCAATTTGGTCTAGTGGCTTTTTTTAAAGACTCTTAAATAGGTACAAGAAAAAGCTGCATTTTGAAATTTGCAGTGAGCTTTTATTCTCAGTCTTCCTGAAGGCTTGCAGAATGTTCTTTATTTCCTTGGTTTTGGTACTGGAGCAAAAAGTTGAGAGCTGTCTTGTGTACAGAGTGGCTATAAGGCATGATGGTGGTAGATTGTGGTATTATCTTACCCTTTAGCCACATTTTGAAAATGACTGACCATGGTAGCATATTATGATGGTATGTCTTCTCAAACAGATAACTTCAGGTGATAAATGTCTCTATGTCCTGGGGAAAAGTGTGTATTTTAAAGGATGCACCTTCTGTCTTTATTCTCAGTGGTTTGTTTTTTTTCTTTGACTCTGTATGTGTGTAGAGAACAAGTCACAAATACTGATAGTTTCAAAAAAACTTTTTCCATCTGAAGATTCTGGCATTTGGATTTTTCTGTCCTAGGTTTAGAAAGAACAGCAGTTTCTAGTCCCTTAACAGTGATGGGTGAGCAGCTTTGTGGGGGCCATAGTTAAAACCAAGCCAAGCCAAGTGTAGAAGGTATCATGGGTGCACATACGCATCATCTGCCAGTACCCCCAAGTCCTTTCCTGCAGGGCTGCTCTCTACCACATCATCCCCCAGCCTGTACTGATAACAAGAATTGCCCCAACCCAGGTGTGGGACCTTACAATTGGCCGTGTTGAATCCCATGAGGTTCACATGGGCTCACTTCTCCAGCTTGTCCAGGCCCCTCTGGAGGACATCCTGTCACTCTGACATATCGACCACACCACTCAGCTTGGTGTCACGTGCTGAGGGTGCACTCAATTATCCTGCCTATAATGTTGATGAAGACATTAAACAACTTTGGTCCCAGTATGGACCTCTGAGGGGCACCACTTGTCACACATCTCCATCTGGACATTGAGCCACTTCCACTACCCTCTGGATACAACCATCCAGCCCATTTCTTATCCACCAAACAGTGCACCCATCATATCTGTATTTCTCCAATTTCTAGAGAAGCATGTTGTGGGGGACTGTGTCAAAGGCCTTGCAGAAGTTCCAGGTAGATGACAACCATTGCTCTTCCCTTGTCCACAGACATAGTCACTCCGTTATGGAAAGCCACTATGTTGGCAAGGCAGGACTTGCCCTTGGTGAAGCCCTGCTGGCTGTCTTGAATCACCTCTCTGCCCTCCATGTGCCTTATCAGAGCTTTAGGAAGATCTGTTCCATGATCTTCCCAGGCACAGAGATGAGGCTGACACGTCGGTAATTCCCGGGGTCCTCCACTCTAACATTTTTAACGATGGGTGTAATGTTTCCCTTTTTCCAGTCATCGGAGACTTCACCTGAGGGCCATGACTTTTCAAGTGTCATGGTGAGTGGCTTGGCAACTACTTCATCCAGTTCCCTCAGGACTGTGGGATGCATCTCATCAGGTCGCATAGACTTGTGTACATTCAGAGTCCTCAGGCGGTCACAAATCTTGTCTTCACTTACAGTGGGAGGGACTTTGTCCCTCCAGGTCCCCATCTGGTGGTGCTTCAACTTGAGAGTTGTGAGGAGAGAGGTTGCCAGTAAACACCAAGACAGGCCTTCTCCACGTCTGTTGTTACTAGGTTGCCATCATGCTCATCAGGGGGGATACACTGTCTTTAACCGTCTTTTTCTGGTTGATGTACGTATAGAAGCCTTTCTTGTTATTCTTTGCATCCTTTGCCAGATTTAGCTCCTGCTGCTTCTTGGCCCTCCTGACCTCATCTCTATGTAACTGGGCAGCATGCCTGTACTCAGGATGCATGTCTTTGCTTGATCTGCTTGTGTAGTTCCTTCTTGCCTTTTAGTTTGACCAACCAGTCTTGACTCAGACATGCTGGTTTCTTCCCTTTCTTGCTTGATTTCTTACACCTGGGAATGGAGAGCTCTTGCGCTCTATGGAAAGCATCCTTAAAGATCTGCCAGCTCTGCTCTGTTCCCTTGTCTCTGAGACCTGTTTCCCAGGGGTTCCTATTAACCAACTCCCTGAAGAGCTGGAAGTTTGCTTTCTTAAAATTCAGGGTCCTGACTGTGCTTCTCATCTGACTTGTATTCCAGTTCTGGGTCTTATGAAAACCATTAGCGCGTTTTTGACTCCAGACTCTGTTTGAGTGCTGTGCCGAGTTAGAGCTTTGGTTCTGTTGAAGTGTAAAACATTCTTTCCTTGCAAAGCAATGCAAATGTGCTCAGAATAGGAATGCTTCTTTGTCCAAGCAGGCTGAGATAGAACTTTGTTTCATCAAAACTATTATATAAAATATAAGACTTGATTTACTGTGGGAGGCTCTGGAATATGTGCAGAAATACTGCACATTTTGGGTTTATTTTCTCTGGGTTGCTGAACTTACTCCACTAAGCGTAGAGTTATGAGATGGTCTTCACAGCAATAAGGGCACTTGGATTTTCTGGGTTTTGGGCATAGGCATTCAAGCTTAGCTGTGGTCCACAGACATCATTTACCAAATTGCACGTCTACGGATGATCTCAAGCTAGCTGTATAACTGATTAATACAAAGAAATACATTGGAAAATTCCAGTTATAGAGCACCAGTGAGGACAAAAGAAATCAAAAGAGCAAGTATTGTCTGTGTGTGTCTGAGACAGAAAGACTGGTAGAACCAACTGGGACAAACCACACATTGAAAACTACTGTAATACTGTTAAGGATATGTCTTCGTACTCTAAAAGAATTGCAATGAGAGGAAGGAGAAGGGAAGACTTGTCTTCTACAACTGATATGGATAAGTGAGACTGACAAGGCTATAATTTTTATTCAAATTGGCTGTAATCAGCGAGTTTATCCTCTAGCTCTTACTTGAAAGCAGAGGGGCAGGAAGCAAAAGCTGTTGTGTGTTGAGCTGATTAACTGAAATTAAAATGAGAGGTCACTATAGAGTAGATTTTGAGGAAAAAGTGTAATATTAGATTGAAAATGCCTTCTATTATGTTTTAGAGTGTTCTGAATCTTGAAGCAGGCTGCTTAAATCATAGACTGTAAATAATTTTGATGCAATCAGTCAAGGATGAAAATTATTTGCATAAATATTCCTGGTGCAAAATTCCCTTTAACCTTTCCAAGAAGTCACACCTCTCAGACACTGTAAAGGAGGTAGCATATCTGTTTCTAATATTTACATATATTCCTCAAAATATTTTTTTTATTTTAGGAAAAGCCACTGAACACTCCAAACTTGGCTTGCCAAATAGCCTAATTATTCCCTTCAAGTTAGACTGGAAGACCTAGTCGTTCTCTTTTGACTTACTCAAATATCTGTAAAGGTTTAAAAGGCCAGTTGTAATCTTAAAAGAATGAGTAATTGTTTTATGCTCCTGATTTCTGTGTTGGAAGTCACTCTTCAAAGGTATCTCTGACACCCTTTCAATCTTGATTTGTTTCTCCATGGGCACATTTTCTAGCAACAGCAGACTGGAAGCGTCAAATCTCCCAGTTCCGAGGACTTGGGTCCAAGAACCCTAAGTAGTTATTTGGCTGTTTTTTCTTCCTAGTCACACATTTCTCATCTTGCTGCCTGTTGTATTGATGGCCGATAAAGCACTAAATACTTCAGTGCTTTTCAAGTAGTTTCTCACACAGATAATTCTGGCAACACATCCGACAAGTGTACAGTACTCTGACAAGTGTTGAACAGTCACTATAAAAGGAGTGATGGGAATATTGTGAGTGGGAGAATCCAAATTCTCTTATACTCTTCTGTGATTTCACACAGTCCCATTCTAGTTTTGCTGTAGTGGCTAGCATTGAGGGAATTATTTGATACTTAGCCTTCTCTGTGACTGCAGGATGCATTCCCAAACATTTAGAAAATGTCAGGCTAGAAGAGAGTTGTGATGCTTAATTAAATATAAAGCCTTTTTCCTGACCTTGTGGCTGTTGCCATGCAGCAATAGTCTTGCTTCTACATGAACCTAAGAACGAATTTAACAATTGTCCTCTGGTAAAATATTGCTTTAAGCCTGAATATAGACTGTTTTCCCTTAGGCATGAGTTGGGTGCAGCTATCAAACTTTGAGGTAGTGGGCAGTCCCAGATATGCTGAGCTGCAAAATGGAAAAGGGATTGAAATGGCAATTTTTTTTCCACTAACTTTGTGTTTCTTGTTTTGTGTTTGTTTTTTTTTCCTTGCCCCTAGATTACTGTTATATTTAAATCACACCAAGACTGTACAGATCAGAAAGTATATCAAGCCATGACTGATGACTTGCCTGCAGCTTTTGTTGATGGTACAACAAGTGGAGGTGATGGGAACACCAAGAACTTGCAAATCGTGGAGAAAATCACTGGCAAATACATCGAAATGCATGCCAGATACATTGGGACTACGGTGTATATACGCCAGTTCGGGCACTACTTAACGTTGGCAGTTCGCATGCCTCACGAGTTGGTCATGGCCTACGAGGAGAGCCAGGATCTTCAGCTGTGTGTGAACGGTTGCCCTTCAGGTGAACGTATTGATGATAGTGGCCACTTACCGTTGCCTGTGATGGGCCAGTTGCTCCCTCAGGGTGGTGCTGCTTATCCCCGGTCAGTGTACACACTGGAAACTGCCATGACCAAATGCCATGAGAAGATGCTGGTGAAGGACATCTATTTTTACTCATGTGTGTTTGACCTACTTACCACTGGTGATGCTAACTTCACAGCTGCTGCTCACAGTGCCTTGCAGGATGTGGAGGCACTGCACCCTAGAAAAGAGCACTGGCATATCTTTCCCAGCAGTGGAGGTGGTGGTATGGGCAAGGGTAACAAAGTTTTTGTTCGTCTTGGACTTGTGTGCTTGATCCTTGATGTGTTTTTGTAGGTTTTTCTGTCTATAACAAAGTTCATAATATATTGAGTAAAGATGAGTATATATATGTATATACCATGTATACGAATGGATGTTTAGTCTCGGGACACCCACCAGATTGTACATACTGTGTTAACTGTTTTCATGTATGTTTGATGTAGTGTTCTTTGCCTCTATTTGTTTTGCAGTTGGTGAATGTTTTGTAACGTCTCTGCATTGGGACCTGATAAAAAGCACTTTATTTTTTATATATTAAATATTTATGTGTGTATCTGATAACTATATATTATATGTATAAACATGTTTATACAATGCTCAGTGTTCTCTCTAAGTACTACTTGGTTTAATGCATTTTTTTTAACTGGATTTTGTTGGTTTTTTCCTATAATCTGTCTTACTCTAGAAACAGCGCATGTCTTGTCCTGTAATGACATTATTAAGAACACGATTGCATTCTGTCCCTCAAACAAATGGCCATCTCTTCATTTCAGAAATGAAGAAATTCCCCTAAAGAATTGGAGTGCTTCCCTTTAACTCAGATGACCATCTTGGATAACATGAATTACAGAACTTTGTAACTCTGACATTTGCTAGTTTAACAACCTAGAAGGATGGAAGGCCACCTCATTCTTATCTTGGCAGGTAGCAGAGGAATCTTTGTTACTGCTTTGATTCCCCAGCTGGATGTAATGTCTTGAGTACTGCCATTTTGGCCCCCATCCCCCAAGTTCTTCAGTTTAAAGCCCATTGGACTAAGTTGGCCAGTCAGCTGACGAAGATCCACTTCCCCCTTCTGAACAGATGAATCCCTCCCTAACAGGTTACAGTCAGAAAAGAACATCCCACTGTCATAAAAATCAAAGGCTTCATTGCAACACCAATCACATAGCCAGAGGTTGAGAGGTTGATAGCTTTTTTATGCCTGTTTCTGTCTACCCCATGCCTTGAACTGGTAAAATGGAGGAAAAGATAACTTGGGCCCCACAGTTTTCCACTTGTTGCCCAGAGCTTTGTAGTCACTCTTGGTTCTGCCCAGTTTAAGGGTTGCAATGTCATCTGTGCCGATATGAAAGAGTAACAACATAGAGTAATGCCTGCTCTTAACAAGTTACGGTACCCCATTCAGTATCATCCCAAACTTTAGCTCCTGGAGGGCAGCACACTTCCAGTGACTCCCTGTCAGGCTGGCAGATGGGTGCCTCAAGAGTCACCCACTATGAGCATGCTTTATTTTTGTGACACCTGTTGTGTGCTGGTGGTACAGTTGCTGGTGGTAGAGCCCTGGTTTTGCAGGTTACCAGGGTCCAGGGTGGCTCTTTCACAGTGTTTGTTACCAGAACAGGGTTCTTAAACCATCTATCTCAGACCTGGCTCCTCTAATACTATGGAGCTTTTTAACTGTTTCCTCTAAGTCAGCCACCTGATGTAACAGATCATCAACCTTCTTACACTGTGTAGGTACTTCCCTTCTCTCCAGGAGAAGGGTCTTGGTGCTGTCTGTACTGAAGCCTCTTTCCTTATCAGATCTGTCTGGATCGAAACCTCTGACATTACAGGACTCTCCTGTGCAGAAGCACTGGTCGTAGCCTGGAGGTGAGTGCCCACCGTTCTGGCAGAGACATCAAGCATTTACCTGGCCTGTAAACCTAGGGACCTACAAGCAGACTGCAGCACCTTTCCGTGCAAATTGCCGCTCTCCGCCCTGTTCACCCTGCGCCCTGCCTGATCGCCACGTTACCTGGGGCAGCCTCCTCTGGGAGCAGGAAGGTCCACCGGTGCTGGTACCAGGACAGGTTAGCCTCTTTCCTGTCTTGGAAAAGCCCCCAGAAGAGCCCCTAAGAGAGCCCTTGCAAACCATTTTCCCCTTGATTGCCTTCATCGGGGTGGACTTACTGTGTTGGAACTGGTCTCATCGGCAAGAAGGTTAGAGATTTACTTTTTTCCTGCTTAGAACCCCACAACATGTCAGACTTTGCAAAACTTCCAGATGTGGTTCATGAATGTACCAGTAAATAGATGTTTGTGTAAAAGAGTGGCTGTGTAGTGTGTAAATACTTTAAATTACTGTGATAGGACAGTTGCCTACCCTGCTGAGTAATGTGTGTAGTGGGGTGTTAGTGACCCCTGGTGGGATGCACAGAAATTGGGGATGTGGGCCAGATACTGGGCAGTCTATAAATAGAGCCCCAATTTGTCTCCTCACCATCACTTGTTGATTAGGAATGTGCTGACTACAGGCGTTATACTTCCTTGCAGATCGTTGTTTCCCCTCTGCTAAGTAAGCAGTGTAGTGAAATTTATGACCAACAGCTGCAAACCAGGCCAGTTTATTGAAGGAACAGTGTTTGGGAAATCAACAGCAGGAACCATCCCCTCAGCATCCCGCTTGTACAGTTCCTCTGCAGTGTTGGCAGAGATACTCAGAAGACATTTAACACATTGATCTGACATTGTTGCATCCATCTTGAGAAATGTTATGAAAATCCTCTTTTAAAGTGTCCCAGTTTGAGCTAAACAGAACCAATTCTATTCAGTCATTTTACTTCTCCGTTAAAAAGGTTGTACCTCTGGTGGGAAGCAGTCAGGAGAGGTGACCAACGTGATATGTCATACTCAGTTTAAAGCTGAGGGATCATAGGGTTAAGTCCACTCTTCAATAGTCAGCATCCGAAGAGGACTCTGTCCATTCTTCTGTCTTTGATCTCAATCCTGAGTTCCCAAATCCAGCTCCTGTAACTGATTCCCTGCTGCTGCTAAGCCTGGGGCTTCCCTGGTGCCTGCCTGCTCTGCAGCATCAGTGGGGATTGCTGTCGAGGGGGAATTAGGTTTAATACCGATTTTGTGTATATTTCCATATATTTCATTATTTCCTGATTAGTACTATGATTGTTTCATTAAAACTGTTTTAGTTTTCCAATCTCTAAGTCTCTCTGCCTTGTTCCATTCCTTTTTGGGAAAGGAGGCGGGTTAGAGAGCAAGTGTCAGCTTTTAGTGGCTGGCCTGGCCTTAACCCTCGACATAAAGTTAATAAAGAGCTTTCAGACCAGAAGAACTCTGGAAGAGAAAATTATTTGCTGTAAAACTGAAGAAGAGATTGAGACACTGGAAGAATAAATTACATAGAAGAGTCCATAAGTTTAGACAACTATATAGCAAGATGATTTGTGAAGTATACATGGGAGCTGTAGTATTTCAGCTGCAGGGCTAATCGAGCAGTATGAAGGTAAATTGAAAGTGCAAAACTGAAAACAAGTTATATCAGTTAACCAAGAAAAACAGACCTAATAAACACGAACTCTGAACGTTGTTTTGCTAAGCTTTTCTTACAGCTAGAAGTTGAGGTGTATGTGGAACAATCTTGTGTGATAGATATATCATTGAAATGCTTTGGGGAAATAACTGTAGAAAGCAAAGGAAGCTTTAAAAATATGTGTGGGTAGTGCATACAGAAGACAGCCATCGTATCTGTAATAGCTTAGTTTCAAAGGAGTTAATCTACCACCACAAGCTCTGCAGAAGGCAGTATGGCATGATCATCAGTATTTTAATCCAACAACTGGTAAGCTATTACTGACATTATCTGTTGCTGGTCTTTGTCTTTAAATAACTTGGCTGATGCCTTGGATATTAGTGGCCTATTCAGAAATGTTATTTTAAGTATCCTCTCGTAGAACATTTCTAACCAGAGTATTATGTAATCATATGCTAGTAGACCTCCTAACAACAGCTGAGGATAGTTCTCTGTAGTTGCTGAGTCTGACACTTTCCCTAGGAAGTACATCATAGAATTGAGCAGAGAACCAGGTGCTTAAACAAGGGTAATGTAAAAGGAAATAGTATGCTTAGCTGACCGTCAAACCACAAATTCTTTTTTTTCTCTTCCTGGAAATTAATCCTGGCTGGAAGATTAATTTGCATAGAGCACCTCTTAAGTGGAGCAGAACCTGAGAGAATGTTGGAAACAACCTGGTCTCTGTTCTTATGGTTGGGTTAGGGCTCTTCAGTAATGCATTTCCTTTCTAACTGCTGCCGCACTGCCAGAAAATGGATTATCAGCTATTTACATTCTCTCACCTTAGCATTATGAATATCTTGCCTTTGTTCTGTGTTTTTTGAGGATCTGCAAGTGGGAATTTACTTAGGTAGACCCTTAAGGGAGGGAACCAATATCACAAGCTTTGCCCTGGCTAATGAGGGTTTCATTGAAAAAAAAAGAAGCGGAAGTGGCTTGTGGCTTTTTTTGCTTTTTTCTCTTTTGGCAGACTTACAGCACAGTTTCAAAACTTGCATTCATTTTCTTCGTGTAAATATATCTGTGGTATTTTAACCCTCATCTGTGTCTTGACTGATATAGACTGTATTCATTTCTGTCTTTCCCT